AGGAGTAGGAGTAGTAGTAGTAGTTGTTGTTGTTCTTGTTGTTGTTGTTGTTGTGGTGGTGGTAGTTGTAAGGGTAGGCTGGCGCGAAACTTATGCCAAAGATGATTCGCTTGGGTGGCACGATCGCGGAACTTTCGCGCACACATAGTTGGCTAGGCCGTCGGCCTTGCATGCGGAGTTGATTCTACCTCAAGGGCCTTTGGGCCAGCACTAATATTGATGTTGTGATTTGATTGGAACAAACTTGGCGAAGACATTGAACGTTAGCTGATTACCAAGATGAGTATAACTAGAAACTGCCAATCACCTGTACAACTTATCCATATCCAGAAAGAGGCCGCGCATTTTGCCATCTCTTCTTTGGGGCTTCATCACTGTCGCAGCCATCCGGACCTCACGTGTGCACAGTGAGCAAGAACTTCAACAACTGTCATCAGTGGGAAAAGGCTCCCCCAGCCTCCTCCATCTGGTCGGACGGAGACGAAGGCGGACAGGCTGGTGACGTTGGCTCTAGATCCTGCTGGCTCGGGGCTAAACTACAGTGAAGAAATGTGAAAGTAGTAGATTCAGTGAGTGCCTAGCTAATCCCAGCTAGACAGGGAGTTGCAACACAAAGAAGTATGTCAAGCCTCGTCAGCAATTTGCGTAGCATCATCTGACTCCTTCGAAAACACACGCGAATCACAGAGTATCTATATAGTTATATTATCCGGAAAGCACCAGTGCGTACTGCTGAAAAGCAAGACATCACAGGACTACAACTGCGACAAGTGGACGAAATCTGCAACCCTTCGTTTCTGCTCCCAACTCGCAGCCTCCGCAACTTGGGTCGGGTCATCTGAGACCTTATCGGTCGGGTGCATCCAACGAGCCTGCGACTTCAGAGCAAAACTCGCAGCACGCGCACGGCGAGGCACATCATCTGCAAGAGCTGTTGTCAAAGTAGTGATTGGAGTACCCCAGGAGTCCTCCGCATTTCGGCGTTGGCATTGACATTCACAAGGGAAGGTTTTCAACACCGAGGCACGAGAAGCCGGTTCATGGGCCTGGCGGCTTGGGAAGCAACAGTGCAGCTAAGAACCACGCTGGACAGTTCGAGCGGCGTCTTCCTCCCTCTCTCTCACGGACTGAGTCAACTGTCAGCCGCGACGCAAGACACGGCGTCCTCCTAAAACCAAGTTCCTGGCCCGGCTTGCGCGACAGCTGGGTTGTAGTCATCGCAGGAGACGGAACTCTGCGGTTACACCAGTAGCAGCGACACAGTGAGGCGACAGGTTGAAGCCGTTCACAGCCGTGCGGTGTATCCATGGAACCAGGAAGTAATGCACCAACCGCAGCGAGTCATGATGGGTTCCTCTGCCTGTGATGCTTGGAGCTAGAAATAGTGCTCGGGATGATCTTTTTATGGCGGCATGCTGGCCACAACACTGGTAAGGCTGCAAGTGAGTACCACTTATATTCTCTACAACAAGTTGACGAGATCCCAATTCGGATTGTTTCGGCCGGTCCTTCTTCTTTTGAGACCTGGTAGTTCCATTCGACTTTGGCGTCTTGCTCTCCTTCGCACATCGGGGACATCGCTTCTCGCCTGTGTTCATGCCTACACGGATGAGCGGAACCATGCTCATCATGATGGGCCTGAAGGCTCCACAAATTAAGACGGATGATGGCCACAGTGCGCGAAACCAAGTTCCAGTCGTGTGCTTTTGTCCTTGGCCGACTTGACCCGTGACTGTTTGTCTTTCTGCTTCCGCTTTCGACCTAAGTGTGATGAATTCGCACCCGATACCTCAATTGACAGCAGCACCAAAAAAGAGCGAACAAGAACACAAGCACCAGTAATCGCTGCTTTCAGCATTGACTTTTGCTGGAACCACCCCTCAGCCTATGATATTCAGGTACAGCAGACTCCTTTGCCCGCCTGACCATCATCATCCCAACATTACCAAGCTTGGGCATGAAATACGCTGCTAACCTCAGAATGCCATACCCGCTGAGAGGCTTTAGTAACATGGGCCATCGTCATACTGCCCCGCTGAAAAACCCGCAGCCTTGTTCGAGTCCACCAAATGTGGCTAAGGCTGGTAGTGATGTGCTGCACATTGAATACGAACGGGAAAGGCTCATTGAGCTAGCTTGCCCTGAAGACCCTGGCACAGCTCCCTTCTCTCTAGCTCCGGCCGGAGACTCATTCTTGTCTACTCAGCTTCTCTCGTGTTCACAGCAACTCCGCGGGCAACATGGGGTTGTTTCGCGAGCAGAACATGTCTCCCGTGTGGTCCTGTCAGGGAAGGCTGAGTGTTGGCTCTGCTTCTTGCAGCGCGGCGTTGGTTTTGATCCCGCCACATGACCCATAGGGCCAAGGTCGGCACCGGATGTCGTGCTCGTGGACTCATCGACCTACGTGCTACTGCTTCAGCCCAACACCTAGCTTACACCCCGACATTGGCCTTGGATGCTTTCATCTTCTTCTTCTCCTTCTTTTTCTTGTTCTTGCGCGTGGCTTTCGTCTTCAAAAGCTCACCATCTTCCGGTCTTTTGAGCTCCTCGGGAGGACATCATGAGCAGCAAAGCTTCTATTCCGTCCACACCTAAAATGTTGTCTGCTGTCGCCCTCTTCCTTCAGAGCCCGTTGCTTGTGGCTTGGGTCTTTCCTGCCACCAGGACATGCTGTGGGCATTGACACGAACAGGATCCCCTGAACAGGATCCGGGGGGGGTGCGAATGCGATCTCCCGGATCGGGGGCCGACGCGGCTCACGGCTAAGCCCAAGCGGCTCCTCAAGGTTTTTAGGGTCTGCGGTTTGGGGCATGTGCCCAACAGAAGGACCTGGCGGCATGCGGATCCTGAACGACGTTGGCCGTGATCCTGCTGGCACCCCCCCCGTGGATCCGATTCGGCCTCACCCACGGACCGAGTCGAAACGCCCTGGATCCTCTTTGATTAACTCCCACATGCTGTGCACCTGTAGTTGGCCTGATTTCACGATCCTGTCCTCCAGAACCAAATTGACCGTCATTGTTGCTGGGGAGTCCGGCAGGACGGTCTATGTCAATGCCCACTCGGCTACACCCTATTGCCCTATCACGTGAAATCTGAACGAACGCCTTTAGATTGGATGAATCGATTTCTCTTCGGCGGGCCTGAAACTTTCCGCCGCGTCGCCTCGGGCCAACGGGAGAGAAATCAAGCCAGTCTGAAACAAAACCTGGGCTTCAAGCTGCCCAGCTTCACCTCAGGGGAGTTTGAGTCGGCCATGCCACCAAACAAGCTCAACACTCAGCCACTGCGTTGCCGAGGGCAAAGCCTTGGGGAGCTGTGCAGCAGTGCAGTGTGCGGTACTTTGCAAGCTCCTCGGCTGCGACAGTGTGCAACCACTTGACCACCTGTACGAACACACCATAAAAAACACATGCCAGTTGGGGGAAAAGTCAATGCAGTCAACACCCGGCCCAAGCTGTGAATCCGAGAAGCGGCAGCCCCCATGCAGCGGCGACTTTGGGATCCAGCACTGGATCGGAGAGCGCTTTTGCTTGGGGCGATGGCTCCACTTTCTCTTTGTGTTGAGCCGCGTCTTCCTCTACTTGAGCTGCTCGCGCTGTGGGCAGTGCAGCCGGCGCCACCTTCTGCAATAAAGACATGACGTGCCTGGTGTAATCGCGGCAGTGAAGTTTTCGCATGTACGGCCTCAAACATCTCTTTGGACCGCTTCGGTCGCCTCAATGGCAAACAAGCTTCGAGTCACACGCAAACATGTCCGATTCCCATCTGATGCGAGCGCAGGATGCGGCGTGATAATATAGGGGCTAAATGACAGGCCTATCGGCGTAATTCCAAATTCACAAATAGCTCGCAGCCATCGGTATGTGAGTCACCAAATGTCACTTCAATTGCACATCCGGGCGCGCAGCTTCCCGGCTGCATCGTGGTTAGCCTGGGTCTGGTTTAGGTATGACCTATCGTCCGTATCTAGAATCTGAGGCATGTGAATCTTTCATGATCCCGCACATCGTAGATGTTTTCACTGCGGCCACTTTTTGCTAGCAAGGAAACCTTACTGTTGTTGGCAGCATATAATTTTTGGCTCCTGCATGGCAGTCTCTAAAGGCGACATGGCAAGTATGTCATGACGTTCTAGAATCAGGTCTAGCCTGAAAGCAAACGATGCCTTTCTTGGCCCACTGCCCGGGGTCCAAATGTTAGCTTGCTAGCTTCACCCGGAGTACTTCGAAAATCGGCGGTGTTTGAGGTGTTTTAGATGTCATGTGAAATAACTGATGTATGCACCCCGCACAGAATGCTTTCAAGCCGTCTTCCCGACATACAACACTGAGCATCCAGGCAGGAAGGCCTGCTTTGCCACCTATCCATTGCATGCCTGCCACGACAGCAAAATGGAGCTTGGAAGCAGCACTCCAGCTTGAATGACAGCAGGAAGGGCGCGCTCGAACATGCTCGTCCTGAGCAGCAGGTGCACCGAACATGAAAGAGGGTGCAGACAGCATATCAACGAGGTCAAGGCCATGAGCTGCCGTGGTACATCAGCCCCAGGACTGCGGTGGGTGAGCACTTCCCGCAGAAGATACCAATCCCTTGGGTCTGTGCATGCGGCGAACTGGGCGCAGGTGGCAGTTCCTTCATCGCCTGCCGTGGAAACTTGGGAACAATGTGCCAACTGCGAGTGCCTTTTCAGCACAAGAAGCGCAGCCAAGGCAACAAGTGACACGCAAAGTCAAGCGATGGCACTTGCTCTCGCAGAAACTGCCTACTGTCGAGCAGAGTCCACAGGCAATGATCTAAAGAACCAGAATAGCAAGCCATCCTCCTTCATTGAACTGGGCACAGATGATGACACCTCCGGATCAACAAAACTGTGAGACTCGGTCAGGGCTTGGAAAGACTTCTTGTTTTCTTCGACGAGCCTGTGGAGGCGGTGGAGGCTCTTCAAAAGCGCCACCATCCAAGTCTGGCGGTGGCGGTGGCCTCCCACAGACAAAAATACATGCAAACGCAGCACTTGCTTCATCACTCTTCGGTCTGCTTTCGGAAGTGTTTGTGCATGGCTCCTTTCAAGGGGAGAACGTGAGCGTGTGTAACAACCAGCGAGCGCATCAGAGCCTTGGTCCTTGAGCCAAAATCAAGTTACCTTGCAAACAATGCCACCCCAATTGCACCACAACGCAGGGAGAAACACGCCATTGCAACAGCTCATTGGAATTTGATTTCCAGTGCTCGCCGCCAGACTATAAAACGTAGCACTGACATACAGCAACGAGCGTCCGTGCCTCGGCTCGGCAGTCGGATTTACCTGTAAAGCACATCTTGCGAAACCAAACGCAAGTCTAGACATTTTGAGATTTGCACTTCGACGTCTACCTCATTCTTTGCAACCCGGCAGGGAGCGTGGATGAAAATACGGCTAAGGAGGATGAGATTTGTCCGCATCGACATCTACCTGAATCTACCTCTTCTTCAGCATTTGGAGCAACATGTGAAATGTCCAATGCTAGCTCACTGACAGAAAAGCGACCTAATTTTTTTTAGTCGTGGATGCAACTTGCATCCTGTATCGGATCCAGCTGGGGCGCTTGGGTGCTTGATGCTTCCACGGATGTGTTCTCGGCAGAGGCAGCCTTGCTCAGCTTCAAAGAGAAAGTCATCCGATGCTGCTAAGTGCGTGATAATGCTTCGCTTCACAAACCTCCGAACCTCAAATGGATGCCACTCTTCGCCGTCCAACTCAGCATCTTCTCCGGCAAAGACCTGCATGATTGAACCAAACGCCGCAAGTATTGCAATACCTTAAACAGCTCCATGGCCTTGTTTTGGATCTGTATGGTCAATGTCGCTGTCCCCGATATGGAGCCTGTAAGCTTCAACATTCCAAGAGGCAATGTATGGCAATGTCAAACATTGTCTGTTTACTGGACTTACTGGAGCCGCTCCCCGTGCCTCCATGACTTCCGCGAGCAGGTATCAACTGATTTGGCAGCTCCGCATTTCTGGACAACTTGGACCATAAATCAGAACAATGTCTCCGGGGCAGCTGCCACCTGCCACCCACTGCCCAACACTCGAAATGAGCCGCGGCGCAAGGGCTCCCACGCGACCTGAGTTGAATCAGTTCTTGGAGACATCGAGACCTGCCTCTGGGACACGATCTCCTCACAACTGGTGGTCAATGCCGCCAATGCAGTACAGGACCGATTTTCAGCAACCCGGTGACGTGCTGCCTTCCTGTACACACACGCACAGTCAGAGCCAGGTGAGCCTGCGACGGAAAGGGGACATGCTCGCAAATTTGCACAGCATGACGAAGCACTCAAAGGTGCAGGGACTATGGACAGGCTTCACTGGTGCGGCTGACACCCTCGATGTATGCTTTCAGGAGTCCTGCAGGGCAAGCAATCAATGCGGAGCTTTCTGATAAATCAGCACTTCCCTGTTCAGTCACGTGCCCTGCAGTCTTGGGCTACGAATTAAATGAGATACTGAGATACCTGTAATGCACCAACACAATGCACAACGAAACTCAAAGTCCCGCAACCCCTTCAAGTTTGTCGGCTTCCGCTGGTTTTGTCCGAGAAGTCATGCTCAAAACACGAGCGGTAGAACCATGAGGCGGTCGGAAGGGCGGGGGATCCTCGCAAGTCTAGCCTAGTGGGGCAACGTTTAAAAAACAACAAAAGGGACCAAGAATTGCCGGCCGCCTGCCTTGCGCCGCTTCTTGGCATTTGCGGCCGCTTGCGCGGCGAAGGCCAAGACGGATGGCGGGCCTTCGATGCACCACCGGAGTCATTTTCCACAGGCTTGAACTGAGCTCGCCCGGCCAAATCCCTCGCAGCACATCGCACTCGTAGNNAAGTACGCACAATCCTCACGATTTTACTCCGGTGGTCATAAACCCTAAACCCTAAACCCAATTTTTTGAACAAGGTCTCTCTGAAGTGCAAACCCCAAACCCTAAACTCATAAGATCTTCCCCGGATGACCAAAATCCGCACCTCCAGGGTCCCTGGGCCGAGGCTTTTGAGGCCGAACCTGAGCTCTGGAGGAGGGGGAGGGGAGGGGAGGGCCTTTTCTATATATATATATATATATGTAAGAGAGACTCAGACCTCTATGTACTATGTGAACGCCTCCCTTTTGCTCACGACTTTTTAATAATTGAATTTTTTTAATAGTTTTAAAAGTTTCAAAAACTATTATTAAATTATTAAAAGAAATATTTTTAAAAATTCAATAATTTTTGAAACTTTTAAAACTATTTAAACTATTAAATTATTAAAAAACTAGTATTTTTAATCATTTAATAGTTTTTGAAACTTTTAAAACTATTAAACTATTAAAAAAACGGTATTTTTTAATAGTTTAACAGTTTTTGAAACTTTTAAAACTATTAAAACTATTAAATTATTAAAAAACAGTATTTTTTTATTAATTTAACAGTTGTTGAAACTTTTAAAACTATTAAAACT